AGAGCACTGGCTGTGTGCCAGCAGGTGGGATGGGACTCTTCACCCAACAGTCCATTTCTACTCAGCGCTGGGCACAGAGCCACACTTAGCAGAGTTTACTGAACTGTGGCACGCAAGGGTAGAGACGGAGAGACCGCGGAAGGCGCAAGATGCAGAGTCAACAGCCTCACAGGCCGCTGAGGAGTGGAGGGGCGGAGGGGGAAAGAGGCCTTGGAATCCAGGAAGGGCCTCGATTCCTCGAAAACCTCGCGTATTTCTGGGCGGGAAGTCAAAAGGCGGACGCTGGGGCGCTTGTGGGTTTCGAAACTGAAAACCAGGGAGGGGATTTGGCGGATTTAACGGCCCAGGACCCAGATGATCAACGAAGCGGATCTGTGACCTGTGACGCAGGTTCCAGGCTCAGGTAGGCGAAGTGAACGGTATCCTCAGCCCAAGGCGCTAAAGCCGTTGCCCGGGAAACGGGGAGGAGGCGGAGCCAACCGAACTTGGACGGAGAGCAGCCACAGCAGGGGCGGGACTCTGCTTCTGACTGGTTATGTTCCTCTCGAGGGGCGTGGCTCGCTTACGGCCGAGCGGCCGCTGAGGCGGGTTGGCTTAAGACTGACAAGCTTGACTGGGAGGAAATGGGACTTGGTTTTAACAAGTAGGGCACCAGCCAGGGCGGGACTAGGATAGTCTGATTGGCATAAGTCCATAGGGCAGGAGCTAAAGCTAGCCCGAACCACCTGTCCTACGCAGACATTTTAGACACAGTCGGGGAAAGGGCATGGTGAGGTGATTTGGGAGAATAGCATAGAAATATATATTTAGTTCAGTTCAGTCGCTCAGTCATGTCCAACTCTTTGCGACCCCATGGACTGCAGCACGCCAAGGCCTCCCTGTCCATCACCAGCTCCCGGAATTTACTCAAACTCATGCCAATTGAGTCGGTGATGCCATCCAATCATTTCATCCTCTGTCGTCCCCTTCTCCTCCTGCCTTCAATCTTTCCCAGCATCAGGGTCTTTTCCAATGAGTCAGCTCTTCGCATCATGTGGCCAAAGTACTGGAGTTTCAGCTTCAGCATCAGTCCTTCCAATGAATATTCAGGACTGATTTCCTTTAGGATGGACTGGCTGGATCTCCTTGCAGTCCAAGGGACTCTCAAGAGTTTTCTCCAACACCACAATTCATAAGCATCAATTCTTTGGTGCTCAGCTTTCTTTATAGTCCAACTCTCACATCCATATATGACTACTGGAAAAACCATAGCCTTGACTAGATGGACCTTTGTTAGCAAAGTAATGTCTCTGCTTTTTAATATGCTGTCTAGGTTTTCATAACTTTTCTTCGAGGAGTAAGCGTCTTTTAATTTCATGGCTGCAGTCACCATCTGCAGTGACTTTGGAGCCCAAAAAAATAACGTTTGAAAAAATAAATAAATAAAGTTTGCCACTGTTTCCAACATATATATATTACCATATGTAAAATAGCCAGTGGGAGTTTGATGTATGATGCAGGGAACCCAAAGCCAGGGTTTTGTGACAACCTCAAGGGGTTGGGATAGGGAGGGAGGTAGGAGGGGAGTTCAAGAGGGAAGGGATGTATGCATATCTATTTCTGATTCACATTAATGGGTAGCAAAAACCATAACAATACCGTGAAGTAATAATCCTCTAATTTAAAAAAAGAATTAAAGAAGAAGAAAAAAAGATGTTGGCCTCCATTGGAAATATATACATTAAAAAAAAAAAATGTTGAACTCATTAGCCCCAATGGCCAAGGAAAAGAGCAGGATATGCCTACTTGGCCCCCTCATAGCCAGGGTAAGCCAGGTCTCCAGATCCAAGCCATTTTTTCCCCTTAGAACATGGACCAGGAGAGAGGAAGAAGGCTGGGGAGGAAGGCCAAGGATGCTGATACAAGTTTCCAGAGAAGGTACCCAGAGTCTGAGCACTGGGAGGAAGACAGGAGACCCAAGAATGGGGCAGATTACTTTCCAGTGAGTAAAGTGCTATCTCTGCCCAAATGCTAGCTTCCAAAGAAAATTCCAAGCATGTGGAAGCAGTCTCGAAAGCATACCTCACTAGGATTTGCCCCTAAAGAACCTGTGAAGTTAACCTAAACCAAAGTTTTTTTCTTTTGAGAAGTTGGTGTGAAACTAGGAATTTTGGTGGCAGAAAAGCCTTCCTACTAACTGGCCTACTGGTGCCCTGGCCAGTCTTCTCTCTAACATGGCTTAGTTTTATCTGCAGAGTACAATAATTGTTACTAAATATTCTTAATGATTTTGTTTTACAAAGATTCCTGCACCTCACTCCCTAAGTGGATTTCTTTTGCCTAGATTTCCCAGTGAAGTGCAAGGCCTCTTTTCAAGGGGATTTCTAATGGCCAAAGCTGTAACTGTAGAAAGAGGTTTCAAGATTTAACCCAGGGTGCCAGCTGGGCTTGATGGGAGACACTGTTCCCTGGCAGGACTCAACTGAAACTGGTTATCTGTCATCCCATAGTTAGTCAAGAATGGAAATCTTTGCTTATACTCCTTGTTATAAAACCCTCAAGCTTGGAAACTCTTCAGTGGCTTTGGTAAAAGGTCTGTCAATTTTTTCTGTCCTGTAAACAAAATGGGCCAGGGAGGAGATGCCCTGGAATGTCAAAAGGACTAGAAGAATGACCTCAGGTTAACTGGTGGGTGAGGAAAAAGCATAACATGATTCAGAGTCACTCAACTTGGCTCGAATCCTGATTTGACCACCACATAGTTGTGTAGCTGTAAGCAATTTTCTTAAAGTCTTAAATAAGCCTGTTTTCTTGCTATAGTGAAAGTGATAGTCGCTTAGTCATGTCCAATTCTTTGCGACCCATTAACTGTCACTTGCCAGGCTCCTCTCTCCATGGAATTCTCTAGACAAGAATACTGGAGTGGGTATCCATTCCCTTCTCCAGAGGATCTTCCCAACCCAGGGATTGAACCATGGGTTTCCTGCATTTTTCTTGCTGTGAATGGCCTTGCTGGCCTCACAAGGGTGGTTGTGGAGCTCCAAAGACACAATGGACTTAAAGCACTTAGTTTCATTAAGCCTGCCTGGCATGACTGGAAGGACTCAATGAGCAGTAGCTAGTGTCGCTCCCTACTGCCCACCAAGTGAACTACTTTCCACAAGGAATGGGTGAGCTCAGGCCGGGGGAACAGGTCACCTGAGGCTGTTGTGGGACCATTCAGTCCTAAAGATTCCTAAAGATTTCTCTTGACCACCTACTGTGAGAGCTTTAGGCTGAAAAAAAAAGGAGATGAGTGTGTAGAAGTATGTGACACGCTAACAACTTCTCTGATGGAGCTAGGCAGTCTTTAGCCCTCTAGCCTTCCTCTCTTAGAGGTCACCACCCCATCCCATGCCACGTGCCTGAAGACAACCAAGAAGCCCAGAGCCTGAGTTGATTTGTAGGTGTGTGATCAGCCCCTTCCCACCCCCGCCCCCCACCCTAACTCTCCTCTCCTCCAAGGGAATAGGAGGTGGAGCCATCTACCAGCGTCCTTCCTACTTTAGTACTCTGGGTGCTGATGGAAGATTGATTTTCTAATCTCAGAGCGCCCTCTGCTGGGATCTGAGGCTCCCTACAAATGGGGAAGGGAGAGACTAAGACGAACTTCGGTACGGAGAGAAGGCTCCCTACAGAAGACTGCAGAAAGGAGGCTCTTCCCTGGCACTCAGGACGTGGAATTGAGTGACAATGAAGGAACAGACAGGTGTTCAGTTTGCTGAGTAACAATGGCCCATAGCTTTTATTACTGGTGGTAGTTGGTTGCGGGAAGCAGGAAGATGCTCTTAGAGGATCACACTGGGGCCTTCACCCCACTTCAGCCAGAGGTCACAGGAGTTGGAGGCAAGGTCCAACTCTTCACTCTGTGAATTCACCAGCACATATTACATCCTCAAGCCCACCTCCCCTTTGGACCAGCCATTGACACCTGGTCCCTTCTGCCTCTTGGAAATGGGGGTGGGGTGGGAGCAGAACCAACCCTCAAGAAAGAGAAGGAACTAAGATCAGGATGCTGTGGAATGTCTAACAAGATCAGCGCAACACAAAATCCCCTGTCTTAAAATTGTACACTCAGGCTTCGTCGCCCTGAGGTGTCTCACAGCCACTCAGACACCTGTGGAGTGTAAGCACCATTCCCACAGCTGCCTCCCTCTGTCAGAGGGTGCTGCGGGGGCTCTTAAAAAGGAATGCTTGCTATGCCTTCATGACTTTTTGGTTGTGGGAGGGTGCTGGGATTTAAGTTTAGCTTTGAGGTTATGATGTCAGAATGGACCAAGAACTCCTGGGATTGTGCCCTAAGATGGCCTTATTGTAGTGGGAGGGAGGGAGGATGGGAAGCCAGCAAGAGCAGTACAGGATGCTGACACTCGTTTGTTCTATAGAGAAGAAGAGAGGAAATGACCCATGCCAGGATGAGGGGGATGGGACAAGCCTCCTGCCTCCCTTATCCCCACATGTCCTCCTCCGCCAGCCCAGTTCTCGAGTCAGCTTTGGGAGCCAGAAAGCAGAAATCTGAAGGATTCAGGCCAGTTTGGCCTGCTAAGTGTCCTTCAATCTTTGTCATGAGATCCTGGGGCTCCTCTTATGTCCAGAAGGGGCAAGGTCCCATCAGAAATGACTTGGCTGGTGAAACTGTTTAGGCAAGAAAGCCCTGTACCCTGGCTGGCAGATAGCCAAGAAGGGAAGCCAGACATGAGGACACCCCAGGGCAGCCTGTACACACACACGTTATCACTTATGTACATACACAGATGTACTAGAGTAGGAGAAAGGGATTATATGACCCTGTCTTTTGAAATCAGAGGAGAGTAAAAGGCTGATGGGGGCACCTCTCAGCCTATGGATCGCTGGTCTCAATGGCTGCTCCCCCACCAAGCCCTCTGCCCAGCACCAGGCAGATGGAAAGCAGCAAGGACAGCAAGGCTCCACTAAGCAGCAGCCCAAGGAGGCGAGGAAGGAGGCCAGGGGCTGACCCTGCCTCAGAGCCCCTTGTTGTAGTAAACCACTTCGATGCTGGGGTTTTGCTCCTGAATCTGAACTCTCAGCTCTCGCTCCAGCCTGCTCACGTGTATGGAGCTGTAACAGAAGAGCAGGCTGGCTAAGTGTCCCCTGAGCCCACCCCTCACGCTCAGGGACCACCATCCCTCATCCTCCCAGGCTGCAGAATCTTCTCCTCCGACTGCCAGAGGCCCAGATCACAGTCATTCCCTCACCCCCAGCATAAGCTGAATGCCCACCAGGCCCCTTCCTGGAACACAATGATGGGACCTAAGGTCAGCTGCTCCCACAGGCGTGGAAAAGTGGAAATGAAAGTGTTAGTCCCTCAGTCGTGTCCAACTCTTTGCAACCCTATGGGCCTGTCCAAAGCCCCCAGCCAAGCCCAGGGACAGCACTTACCTTCTCTGGGGGAACAGGGCACAGCACAGTGGGGTGGCAAATACCAGGCTGAGGGAGAAGAGTGTTAGAGAGGTTTGTGAGGCGCTGATCTAAGAGTGTTCCCTCCCAGTCCCCCCCTCCATCTCTGGAGACAGCCCCTACGGGTGGAAACTGATTAAAGCCAACGATGACAGATGACAGTACGTTCTGGCTGAGGAAAGAGCCTCCAGAGCAGTGATCCAGAGCGCCACAGCCAGTGACAGAACCAAGAACTAAATGTGCATGAAACTCTGAGATGGGACCAAAAGGCTTATTTCCATGGTGGATGTGGGACCCCTTCGACTAGACTCTTGACCTTCAAGAACAGGCCTCACCCCTTAACACACACAGTGTGCTTTACAGGTGTCCAAGACCCCTACCAGCTGATTGTATGAATGAATGACATATATAAACACCTTAAAAGCAATAATATCCACCCACGTTCACCACAGAAAGGACACTCGCACATACTCTAGCTATCTTCCTACATACTTACCAGAAACCCACCAGGCCCATCTGCAGTGGGGCCCCCAGCCAGGGGCGGCGCTAGGGGAGAGAGAGAATATAACTGTGTGTCCCCTGCCCCCCGCCATCCGTATACCCATACCACGGTGGTTTTATCCCATCAGCTCTACCTTTAAGCCTGTGATATATGGCCCTTTTCTTTCCCCCTATCCCATAGCAGTGACTGGTCACCTTCCACTCCAGCCAGGCATGTTTGCCGACACCCACCCTAGCATACCATCCTAACCCTTACCTCTTAGAATCACTTCTTACACTTCCTCCAGAAGCGTTTCTCCAGGAAGCCTTCTCTAACCCTCCACTCACTCCCTCCCATCCCACTGCATGAATCTGTCCATTTTTCAAACTCACCTCCTGCTCTGCACACCCTTCTTGATTTGCTCCAGCCATAGAGACCACCAATCTGTTGCTCCGTGTGTGTGTGTGCAGTTGGCACTCAATAAATATTTGCGAATAAAGGATTCATCAAAGGAGTCAGAGCTTATATTCCTATGCTGTAAAGTAGGGGATGTTCTGTCCTGTTCACACATGTGTGAGCCTGTGTGTACGTATGCATGTGTCTCAATGCTTTTCACAGCTGACAGCATGAGCATGATACCAGGTGTAACTGTGATGGTCCCTCACTATGTGTGTCTCTGGAGTGACACCAGCTTCCTTCAGGACAGAAACTCTTTCCTTCCTTTCCTGCCCTTCTCCTTCACCCTCAGTGTTCCTTCACTCCAGTTCAATTTAGTCTTGCTGAATGAATTAACGAAGAGGGAGGCGGAGCACAGGGGTGCAGACAGGTAGCAAGTCTTAGGTCAGGCTGGAGAGGATGTTGGGGACTGATCACTTCTGCCCCCAGGCACCACTACTTCCAGGATGGGAAAAGTGAAAGTGACCTACCTTCAGGAAGTCTTTCTTCTCCAGGGTGTCCATGATCACCGGGGGAATAGCTGAGGGAAGAGCAGGGCAGGGAGGGAGGGAGTGAATGGAGTGAAAGTCAGGACCCTCAGGAAGGGGCGATCCCCCTTAGCAGCTCCTCCCATTCCCCCCAGAATCTTACAGCTCCCAGAGTCCTCACACCCCCTGGATAATGGCATCCCTTCTCTTAGAGCCTCCCATGCCCCACAGAGCCACTCCTGCCTCACCCATGGCAGGAATCGCCATGCAGATTCTTGATATCACCACCTGGAAGATTCCTTGCTTGGCTGCAACCACAGAATGGCCAAGCCTCTGACCCTGTTCATTGGTCACTGGGATGCCCACCTGCAGCTCCCTGAGAAGGGAAAGGGGTGGGGATCAGATCACAGGCAGCTGGTCCCTGGGGTCCCCTCAGACAGCCTAGATTCAAAGGCTGGTTCTCCCACCCCAGCATCCCCCCAGCACCAGATGGAGACTAGGCCCGGCAGTTTGCAAGGCCAGCTGGTATGCCTCCAAGCACTCTGTGCGTGCACATGCCAGAAGCAGGGGCCACTCACCTTTGCCTCATCAGGGGGATGTTGATGCAGTTGGCAGCTGCAACGGCTGCAAAGGGCACAAATCTGCCAACCAGTGGGGGAAGATGCTGGGGGAGAAAAGGTGTCACTGAGCGGCCCTAAGGGCCATGGGGTGGTGGGGAACTCCGAGGAGAGTTACCGGGAGCCTGTAGGTTGAGTGGAGGAGGGGAAAGGGAAGAAGGAGGTAAGTAAAGAGCGAATGGGGGGGCGGCATTTACCTTGGTGAGGGATTTGAGTCCCAGGGCCGTGGCCACAGCCCCGGTGGTGGCACTCACGTATGCTGTTCCCAGCTGCCTGTGGGTGGAAGAGCCAGGAAATGAGGTGGAAATGAACAACTCAGCATGTGGCTGTTTGCTTCAGGGACATGCCAAATCCTCAGTAACTGAGGCATGGGAGGCTGGCCTCACTGCAGAGAAACGTCTCCCCTGCTCCAGTGTAGACCTGTCTGGAACCCCCAATCCCTCCACTTGAAGAGGGCTGGGTACTCTTCAAGCATACACAAGAAGACCTCACGCCATCAGTCAGGCCAGGAAAGTGACAGGCTTAGAGGAGGGCACTGAGCCACTGGCTGCACAGGCCTGGGGGGACAAGAGAGAGAAATGGAGAGCCGGGAGAAGAGTTCCTGGGGTGAGCTCTCACCCCACAGTGATGGGAGCGTCGCCACTGCGGTTGGAATAGTTCACGATGGCATTGAAGGACTGATTCAGCCACTGCCAGAACACCACGGTTGGGGTCTTCCTGAGGGAACAAAGGCACTTATTTCCACAGTGTCCCACATCTTTGGACACTGACAATAAAACCCCAAAGGTTATCCCCAAACCCTCTAAAGGGGCCCCGGTGAACCTGCTCTGATGACCTGTGCATGATCCTCCTTACACAAACACACCTGAGTTTCGAGGAATGGAAGAGATTCTAATACAAGCTCTCAGCCACCCACTATTTTCTGCCCAAACTGGCCCAGAGAGGACATGCCTAATCATCAGGTTACCCTCTAGCCTGAACAGAGTACCAGGGAGGAGACACACAAGATAGGACCTGCCTGTAGAAGATGAGCATGCAGCCAGTGATGGTCATGTTCATGGGCACCTGGGCTGACATGCGGCCAATCAGGACCACCTTCTCTCCTGTGTCTGGATGGAAGGCAGAGTCGTACACGTACTTGGCCCTCCACAGCTGGTCCTCAGTGAGCCCTGGAGTTACCATGCCAGCCCTGCAGAAGTTGGCAAGGAGCTGACAGGCAATTCTAGGGGGCAGATCCACCCTCCCAAGCCCTGCCCACCCAGCTCAGGGGTGATCTGGGCAGAGGACTCTGGCTCCCAGTCTCAGAACAAATGAGCTCCTTGTCTCTGGGGAAGAATCAAATCTTCCAGAAAGAGGGCTCCTATTTCTATTTCCCTTCTAGCCACACAAAGAGGGGTACCCTTCTGTTTCTGTCTAATGCTAGGTCATGGGTCATGGTGGTTTCCAATGGGTCAAAAATGGCTGGGGTACTCTGAGGGTTTTTCCTCCTGGAAACAAGGAGGCTGCCCTCCTAATTTTTTAGGACTCAACTTTGAGCCCCTCCATCCTTGCAGAGGGTGGCCCAGCAGAGGGACAGGTCCCTGTAGAGGGTGTGTGAAACATAGAACAGCCCCCTACCCATAAATATCAACACCACCTCCTCTACCCAAACACCCTGAAATCCTTTGGGTTGAAGTTCTGTGTCTTAGTTGTCAGTGATTCTGACAGATACAGTCAAGGAGTAAGGGGGTGGAGGAGTAGAACAGGGTCATGCTCAAACGAGGAGAGATAGGTACAAAAAGTACTGTATGAATAGCAGGGAATGAGCCCCTGGGTCAGATGGGGTCAGGGGTCACCTGTAGTTCTGCACGATGTTCCGGGAAGCTTCTAGCTGTGCCCCAGAGAGCAGCAGATTTCGGGGGTCCGTCACGGTGAAGAAGTGCCGGGCTCTGCCTAGGAAAGTGCTTTGGTCCCAGCGAGGTTCCTGGATATTGATATCTAAGGGCAACTCACCCATTTTCTGCAGGGCAGGGACCAAAGTCAGAGGACTCCAAGGAGGGGGTCCAAGGGCTCCACATGGGGGAGACTTCGGTGGTGCTGCCCTGGTCCCTGAGCCTATTGCCAATCCTTCTAGAGCTCAAGGTGATTTCAGATAGGTAAGCAAGCAGGGGAGGAGCTGTTCTTTAGGCAATGTTCCAGCCCAGGGACCTACAGCCTCTGGAGGAGGGGACAGAAGAGAACAGGGCCAGGAAAGCAGATGTCCTTGTGCTCTGGCCTGCTGCAGATTTTCTTGAGTGAGGATTTACACGTGTGTGGTTGACGCATGAGCAGCAACTAATCCCATGCAGCTACTCTTGTGCTCTGTATGCACAAAAATGCAGATTATATGCATCACACATCCACGTTCATGTCAGATTTAGGCCCCTCCCCTCTCACACACTCACATTCACACTACCCACATACAGAGACACCAGCATACTCACCCTACAGAGACCTGCAGACAGGGTGGACACACCCTGTACACCAAGACTGTTACTTACTTACACACACACACACAGCCTACATACAAACACTTGAGGCTGTTTGGAAAAATGGCATAAGCTGTACCACACTCCAGGCCCTAAACGGAGGTGAGCAAGGGCTCAACAGCTCCAGGGCTTACCTATTCTGGATCTCAAACAGGAGACTGATGCCAGCCAGCCAGATGTACTCAGGGGCATTCACAAGTTCCCTCTCCAGATCCGTCTTCCTCAACCCCACACTGAATTGCCCAAAGTTCTCCTTGTTCCCCAGGTGGGCAGGGCTGGCATGGACACCCACTCACATCTTCCTGAGCCACCTGCCTCTAAAGGAGCAGGAATCAGTAAGTGATCCCTTCAATCAGCATAGCGAGGAAAGTCTGAAGCAGCCATCTGGCCATGTTGGGCAAAATCCTACAAAATGACTAATCCTCTCCGACCACACTTCCTCACAGGCAGACACACCCTCCCCTCTCACACACTCACATTCACATAGCCACACACAAAGACACCAGCATACTCGCCCTACACAGACCTGCAGACAGGGTGGACATACCCTGTACACCAAGACTGTTACTTACACACACACACACAGCCTACATCCATCAGCAGCAGACACTTGAATGTGTGACCACACAGAGCCCCACCCTAACATTCCCTCCCTAACCAACCTCCCCTCTGCCCCATGGATCTCCCTAGAGCCGAAGACACTGAATCCTATAGGACAGGGGCAGCTTCCCTTTCTGAGTCCCAGCCCTCAACCCTCTACTCCCCTGACCCCCGAACCCCACCCGGCACAGCGAGCACTCACGCTTTTCTAGACTCCTGGGCTCCGCGGTTCTGCAGCTCTCAAACTCGCCTTCCTCCCCGGGCTTCCCCCCCCACCCGCCTTCACATCCATCACGCGTAACGTCACGCGTGACGCTCACCGGCTTGAGGGGCGGGGGCTCCGCCCGACGAGGCCAGGGATTGGCAGGGCCTGGGGGCGATGGGTGTCATTAAGGGCGACGCCCCCAGCCCTGGCTACCGAGACCCAGCCCTCCACGGCCTCCCAGAGCCAATCCTGGCTCGGGAATCAGTTCTGGCCGCGTCCCCAGCGCGAGAGAGGAGGGGAGGAGCTGCCCCATTTACTTGCATTCCCTTGGCTGGCCTCGGGAGGCACCCGGCCTCTGCCCAAGGGGTCTAGGTGCCCCCGGCGAAGGCAGGCGGCGCGGAGGGGTATCCTCTCACGGTGCGCCCAGAGGGACTCAGGTTACCTCCAGGCTTGTTTACTTGATGGCTACCTTGGCCGTAGCCTTTGCCTACTTGGTTCCCTGGGCTCCTACCCCGGTTCCATAAGGTCCTCTCGCAGCATCTGGACATTCTTACCCCTTCACAGCCCAGGTCTGCTCGCGCCTCTGTCTTTTGTGTCCGCACCTTTCCTCCTCTGTATCTTCTATCCTCCCCTCCATCCTCCAGTCCCTTCTATCCTCCCCTCTGTAACCTCTAGCTCCGCTGGGTCCCCAGTTTCCTTATGACTCCAGTCCCTATCCCTGCATCACAGACCCTGGCCCCTGGCCCTGTCCCGGGGGTGAAGGGGCAGAAAGCTCAAGGTACCTCCCTCTGCATCAAGCAAGTGGATCAGACATTCTTCCTCCTTCTGGTGGCCCGGAACCAGCTTCCCTGCTATGCGTCCTTTCCAGAACTGGAAAGCCAGAGAGACACTTTCTGACATAGAAGGAGGATGCATGTGAAGGCAAAGTTCAAACGCACACACACACACACACACACACACACACTCACACACTCACAACTCGGTCATCATATAGAACATCCATGCTGCACACTGAGGTTCCAGCTCGAGCTCCTGCCCACTGCAGGCTCACTTCTCTCTCTGTCCAGGTGACATTCCCTCTCTGAGGCCTCAGGGGTGACCGCAGAGAGGTGGCAATTCCATAAGCCCTACCCTAGTAAGTAGCTGGTTTGGCCTGGAAAAGACGCGGTTCTAGGCTCGCCTGCACCGAACCGGTAGCGGGAGCTGGGCCAGCCGAGATCTAAGCTTTAAGTTCGTAGTGCAGGATGGGGTATCAGAACTCGAACTGGAGCGGGTAGAACCCACCGGCCCCAGCCCAGTTTACAGACGGCAGCCCGAGGCACCCAGGAGAGGTGGCGGGAGGGAGTGACTGGCGGCATTCCCAGCCAATGGGAGCCCGAGGCTGAGCTGGCCAGCCCTGTTCCTGCAGACTCGGCGGGGCTAGGGCGGGGATTCCCAGGCCGCAGCGCTCTTTTCTCGCCCGCAGGCGCGCGAGGCAGGCGACTGCCGCAGGCGCGAGCAGGTGAGGGGGGACGGGAAGGTTGGAGCCCGGGGGTGGGCTGCTGCATTCTGGGTTCTGGAACTGCTATGCGGGATTTGGCCCGAGGTTTTGCGTGGGATATTGTGGGATTCTCAGCAGCAGGTCCTGTCCCCAAGGCTGGGAGAGGTTCATGCACCTCTTTAGACCCAAGGGAATGGGGGACAGAGGAGACTGCAGCCTGGGGCTTGGAGATCTCTGGGACCCTTGGCTGCAGCTGTCCCAGGTTCTGAAGTCCCTGGAGGCCGCAGCCCACATACACAGGAGATGTGGTGGTGAATTGTCCTGGCCCAAATCTCTCTCAGTGCTTGCAGCCCAAGGACTGGCAATAATCCCACTTCCACTCTCTCAACCTCTACTGAGGACTGGAGACCAACCTGAATAGATGACTCAGCTGAGAGCAGGAACAAGGGGCAAAAGAAAGGTTCTCACCCAGCTTGTTGTATAAATGGCTCCAAAGTCCACGATGGTGCCTGAAATGGGCAGTTCTCTAGCTGGGAGAGGTGAGAGGCCTAAGGGTTGAACAGGATGCTCAAGCCAGGGGGAGGGCGTGGGGGTCCTGGGGGGCAGCATTTACACCCCTTCCCCAATCCCTGATCTCCTTGTGCAGGCCTGAAGCACACACTCCTGAGAAGCAGCAGAGGTTTGGGGCTCCCAGTCCTTGAGACCCCGGTTGGCACAGAAGGCTCATGGAGCCCCAGGCGTGGGGGGCCCTCCCCTCGAGGGTCAGCAGGTTCCTTTCGGACCTGCAGGGCGCCACCCCAATCTAGCCAGCATGGCACATGGATTTGCAGTGGGCTTCGACCCGCTGGGTCTTGGAGACCTGAGCTCCAGCTCTCTGAGCTCCCTCTCCTCCCGAGGCCACCTGGGCAGCGAGTCGGGCTCCGCAACGCGATACCTGCTGAGAAAGCAACGGCTGCTGAATGGGCCCCCCCGCGGAATCCGAGCCTCATCGCCCATGGGCCGAGTCATCCTCATCAACTCCCCTATCGAAGGTGGGGGCAGGGCTGGGAACTACCAGAGTGGGTAGGGGACAGCAGGCTTAAGTAGTTGAAGAGCCAGTGTGGGTGGGGGAGTCCTAGGAATGCAGGGAGAGAGAGGGCCTCTGGTAACCCATAGACTCTTCCTTGTCTATCCTTTTCTCATCTTCAGACCGGTTTTTTAGTGTTGCAAGATTATGGAGAGGTCAGAGCTGGGAGGTCTGGGCATGGAGGTGAAGAAAGGGTGTGTGGTATGCTAGCCCCCAAGTAAGAAAGGCCAAGTATTAAATTGGCCCCCTCCCCACTGTGGACTCTTCCTTTCTCCAGGCTCATTTGAGCATGACTTTTGGGGGAGCATGGAGAAGGATATTCTTCATCAGCCTGCCCTTTGTGTGCCCAGCTCTGGGCTGGGCTGTGGGAGTCAGTGTCCAGATGGACAGACAGAATTAAAGGCTTCAGGTGCAGAGGATGGAGACAGAGGTAGACTGGAAGATGCTCCAAATAATGGGGAGGGGTCAAGGGTCAGCATGGAGTCCCAGATCTGGGCCCTGAGGGAGGGGGGCACCTAATCTTAGGCAGTTGCTTAGTGCTGTTTCATGGCACACCTATCTTATACCAGCTCTCATTAGGTCCTGAGGGGAACCTGCAGAGAACTAAGTCTCAATTTTCACCTTCCAGAAATTTCCAGTGTAGCAGGGTTTGGAGACAGAGCCATGGTAACAGCTGGTAGTGAGGTAGAGATATCACAGGCAAGGCTGAAATGTAAGTGTGGAATATGGCAGGTGGGCACTTAGGAGACAGCCTGGTGCAGTGACAGATGTGAGGCGACAAAAAGCCAGTGAACCAGGCAGGACCTTGCCTACCAGCAGGGGAGGGGGCCTCCCTGGGCCTGGGCTTTCCCTGAGCAGAACCAGATAAGTATCTCCAGCTCCCCTCCTCTCTCAGCCAGCAGAGCTCCCCTGGCTGGCTCTCAGACTGGACTTTTCAGACCCTGCTCTTCCCTCTGACCCATGGGGCTCCCTCTATCCCCTGCCATAGGGGCAGGGGTGGAATATTCTGCTCAGAGAGCAGGCTTTCCCACACCAGTGGCTCAGCACGCTCATCCACCATACTGGCCTCACTTTCAGGTGAGCAGCAAGGCAGTATATCATTCTGGACATGGAGCTGGAGTCCTCAGATGAGCTAGGAGACATGGAGGAGCAGAAGGGTGGCACTGCAGTACAGTCCTTGCAAATCCCGTTGTATTAGAATTACACCTATACCTCCCCACCCCCCGCACACTCCATGCTTGACAATGATGCAAGGCCTGTGCACACTGTCCCTCTGAAGAGCCTCTTCCAGCAGTTCCATGAGTGCTCTCTCCCTCACCCTATGCCCCAGTGCAGTCAGGAGAGCAGCCTCCCTTAGCGATGATGGAAGGACTAGGGCATCAGTCAACCAGTTGGTCCGTCTGGGTTGGGAGCCTGTGAGCTCAGAATTGTCCCCTCTACCTGAGCACAAACATCTCCCAACTCACCACGGGCTGGAGCCCCTCCCCCATGTTATTTTATATGTTATTATTTAGACCCTTCCAGAGACCTAACATAACTGATGAGGAAGACACAGTAGAAAGGGGAACACTGCTACCCACATTGTCCTCGAAAGTTCCCACCAGCTCCTCAAACTCGTTGGGTCCCAGAGAAATGGCATTATCTTTAATCCCAACCAGCCCCTCTTCTCACTCTCCCAACTCATTCATTTATTCATTATTCTGCTTATTATTTCATTCATCAAAAAAAGGCTTAGCAGGGACTTCCCTGGAGATCCAGTGGTTAAGACTCCATGTTGCCACTGCAGAGAGCATGGGTTGGATCCCTAGTTGAGGAAATAAGATCCCACATACTGTGCAGTGTGGCCAAAAAAAAATTTCTTTAAAAGACTTAGCAAATATCAACCACTGTGCCACATACTGGGGAATACCTTGGTGGAAAGAATTACTAAGTCCCTACCATGATTGACTTCCCTTGTGGCTCAGATGGTAAAGTGTCTGCCTACAATGCGGGAGACCCGGGTTCAATCCCTGGGTCAGGAAGATCCTCTGGAGAAGGAAATAGCAGCCCACTCCAGTACTCTTGCCTGGAAAATCCCATCGACGGAGGAGCATCGTAGGCTACAGTCCATGAGGTCGCAAAGAGTAGGACACGACTGGGCGACTTCACTTCACTTCATTTCACCATGATTGAGGGCTTCCCTGGTGGCTCAGATGGCAAAGTGTCTTCCTGCAATGAGGGAGACCCAGGTTTGATCCCAGGGTCAGGAAGATCCCCTGGAGAAGGAAATGGCAACCCACTCCAGTACTCTTGCCTGGAAAATTCCATGGATGGAGGAGCCTGATAAGCTATAGTCCTTGGGTTCACAAAGAGTCAGACATGACTGAGCGACTTCACTTTTTCACTTTACGATGATTGAGCTTATAGTCCAGTGAAAGGAGAGTGATAATAAATCATATTACAAATGAGTAAATAATGAGAAAGTATAGTAATAATCTTAAAGGTATTAATTTGGATGATAGGATAGAGTAGTGGTTATCAAACTTCAGAATACATCAGAATTGCCTGGGGGCTTCTGAAAAGATTACTGGATCCCGCACTCAGAGCATCTGATTCAGTGAGTCTGCAGTAAAACTCCAAATTCACATGTGTAATAACTTTCCAAGGGCTGCTGATGCTGATCTGGAGAGCTCGCTTTGAGACCAATTTTGAGACTCCCTGGGAGGAGGGGGAGGGGCCTTTCTTCAGCAGGATCACCCAGGAAGTCTTCTCTGAGAAAGTGGCACCCGAGCCAGGAGGAAGAGGAAATAGGATGTGGCTTTACGAAGGTCTGGGCAAGAGCAACCCATGCAGAGGGAACACTGAAAGGACTGGCTGGTGAGAGGAACAGGGAGGAGGTCAGTGTGGCCCGAGGTCAGTGTGGCCCAAGGTCATGAGGCCAGGGAGGGTGGCCAGGGGTAAGTGTAGAGAGGTGGGCAGAGGGAAACCAGGGAGGGCCTTATTGGGCATGGAAGGAATGTGGAGCTCCTTCTAGAAGCAGGGGCAGGCATTGAGGTTTTTAATCAGGACAAAGGCATGACTGTGTATAGAATGGATTAAAGGACACAGAGGTGAAAGTGAGGAGATAGTGAGGCTGCTGGATATCTGGAGAGATGCCTGTTGGCAGCATTAGGGCACTGGAGGTAGAGAAGCTTCCTTCCTCAGGGGCTCCAAGCTCCTAGGCTCAAAACCCAGATTTTGACATCCCCCTGGCCCAGGGAGCTGGCTCTCTGGGAGGGAATGAGGAGGAAGAGCATTGGAGGACAGGAGAGCAAAAGTCTCCTTGTCTGGGCTGAGAAGGTCCTGGGACCTGTGCAGATAGAATCAGCTAGGAAGCCCCAGTGCCTCTCATGCCTCTGTCCTGCACTGTCCCTGCCTAGAGGCTGCCCTTGGGGGTTTCTTCCAGAGCCGCTCTGCTCATGCACTGTAACTTGATTTCTCTTAGATCGTGTGTGTGTATGTGTGTATGTGTGTGAGAGAGAGAGAGAGAGAGAGATTTCCCCTCTCAAACACCTCTGAGTAAGCCTCACCAAAGAACTCTCACCTTCCCACCTGGGACCCAAGTTACCCCTCCAGTCCCCTCACTCTTCTCTAACCAGAAGACCACCTCTGAGCCTTTGCTCACTCCATCCCTTCATCAGTGCCTTCCCCTTCCCCTCCACCCACCCAAATCCCACCTTCCAAGAAGCCTTCCCTGATAGTCCTGGTCCCTAAAGTTCCCCTCCTGACTTTCCCTGTCACTGATGGACGGAACCACTTCTGTGCTCTAGGCGCATACTAAGGCATGGTGGTGTTTTGGGTTTCTCTCCTCGTGTAGTCAACTAGCTCCTAGAACCCTCACCTCCAGAATCACAGAGTCTACAAGGTAAAAAGAGCCTCAGGGATCCTTCCACAACATCCCAGACAGAGATTTACTATCAGCTTGTATGCCTCCAAATAATGAGGAATTCACTATCTTTCATGGAAAATTCATTCCATTGTCTGCCAGCTAAAGGTTTTAGAGAAAGTTTTCCCTTATTAAATCCCCATATAACTCCACTGTGTAGGCTTGGTTCTGCCCTAGGGGATACACAGACAAAAATATCTAATGCCTTTTATAGAATAGTTCTTCAAATATTTGAGGATAGGCTTGTCTCTGCTGTAAGCCAAAGAGCCCGGATTCCCTCAACTGTGCCTCGTAGAATGGAATATTTTTCATCCATCTGACTCTGAGTGGCAGGGTTTTCTAGAATTTGGCCTGTCCCAGTGGGTATGGGAAGTTTAGTAAGGATTAGACACACACACACACACACACACACACACACACACACACACCCCTACATTATAAGGGAAGGAAAACAGTGTATTCTAGCATGGAGTCCTGTCCTGCCGGCTCCCATACCCTTCCTGCCATGATCTCAAAATCACCCAGAGAGGACTCAGAAATTAGCTGCCTATGCCCACATTTCGGGTCCTGGGTAGCTGTGCCCAGCAACCCAGCCTTTGCAGGCCCCAAGTTAGGGGACTCAGGGACCCTCTGTGCCCAGAATGAGCAGGGGAGTCATGCCTGTGTCCCCACCCCCATCAGCCAACAGTGATGAAAGTGACATCATCCATGCAGTTCGAGTGGAGAAGAGTCCAGCTGGGAGGCTGGGGTTCAGTGTGCGGGGCGGCTCTGAGCACGGCCTGGGCATCTTCGTCAGCAAAGTGGAGGAGGGGAGCAGTGCAGGTGAGCGGGACCCCAGGGGTGAAATCCTGGCTTAGGATGTGACCCCCCCACTTCGGTGGTATGTGGAAATGCTGTTGGCAGGGATGAGAGGAGAGGACCCTCAATTTTGGAGAGACTGATCCAGTGGGGAGATGAAAGGGGCTAATGAATAGGTCCTTGGTCTGATGGGCTGATACTCAGACCCTACCTGGGGATCCCAATCTCACTGAAGAAGCTATATCCCAGGGAGCTTCAGGGACGGGAGAGACTCAGCCTCAACCTGGGGGACTTTTCCCCAGGGGCCCCTGCCCACCACCCTCTCCCCTCACACAGAGCGGGCTGGCTTGTGCGTGGGGGACAAGATTACTGAGGTGAACGGGCTGAGCCTGGAGAGCACCACAATGGGCAGCGCTGTGAAGGTGCTGACGGGCAGCAGCCGCCTACATATGATGGTGAGACGCATGGGCCGTGTGCCGGGCATCAAGTTCTCCAAGGAGAAGACTACATGGTGAGCAGGCCTGGCCTCCACCCCCAGCCCAGCACCACCACCCAGAGCCATGGTGGGAGAGACCCAGAACCCAGGGCTTCTGCTCTTCCCATCCCCTGGTACTGGAAACACAGGAATCTAATGGCCTGACCTTGAAATGAGAAAAGGCTGTGTCTTTCTCCCAGCCCTCCTCCCAACACTGCTGTCTCAGACCCCAGTGACCCTGCCCCTCTATGCTGTTGCTGCTGCAGACCTGGAGACAGGGCAGTATCTCTCTCCCAGGCCCAGGGAGGATTTAAAATGGAGCCTGGCAGTTCCGTGTGTGCCTGCTAAGTCACTTCAGTCGTGTCTGACTCTTTGCCACCCCATGGACCACAGCTTGCCAGGCTTCTCTGTCCATGGGATTCTCCAGGCAAGAATACTGGAGTGGGTTGCCATGCCCTCCTTCAGGGGATCTTCCTGACCCAGGGTTCAAACCTGCATCTCTTATGTCTCCTGCATTGGCAGGCAGGTTCTTTACCACAAGTGCCACCTGGGAAGCCCAAGCTGCTGCTGCTGCGGGCCTGACAATATATTATCTCTCCCTCCTGGGCCTGGGGAGGATGTAAAATGAGGATTGGCAGTTAGAGCTGCTCAATAAAGAAAGATTTCCGTGGTTTCCCTAACTTGACGAAATCTATGTCCCGGTGAAGATCTCAGGCCCCCCAAAGCAGCTTCTCCTTTCCTGTGCAATTGTCTTGGCTGCTGGGAGGAGAGGGGTGGGTGGTGGTGGATGGGCGCCCAGGCTGAGGGCCCCGTGTGATTGTCCAGGGTGGATGTAGTCAATCGGCGGCTGGTGGTAGAAAAGTGCAGCTCAACACCCTCCGAAAGCAGCTCAGAGGACGGTGCACGGCGCATTGTCCACCTCTACACAACCTCCGATGACTTCTGCCTGGGCTTCAACATCCGCGGGGGCAAGGAGTTTGGCCTGGGCATCTATGTGTCCAAGTGAGACTGGGGCAGGGGATGAAACAGAGTCGGGCTGGGACCTGGGGATGTATCAGCAAGTGGGTCCTGGCCAGAGGCATGTCCCAGCGACCTAGGTTAGGGATAGGATCTGGAGGGGGCCGGGGCTCACCAGGAGGAGGGTCAAGGAGTTTAACCAGGTCATCCCTGTGTCCAACTGAAGAGTCTGGAATGGGTGGGTGAGGGAAGGCATCAGATCACCCCTTTCCTGACCCCAGAGTGGACCACGGTGGACTGGCCGAGGAGAATGGTATCAAGGTGGGAGACCAGGTCCTGGCGGCCAATGGTGTCAGGTTCGACGACATCAGCCACAGCCAGGCCGTGGAGGTGCTGAAGGGTCAGACGCACATCATGCTGACCATCAAGGTGGGCAGGACTGTGGGAGTCAGGGAGAGGCCAGACTCTAGGAAGGACTTCCCAGACCAGTCTAGCACTTAATGCTGCCCATTGCTGTGTGACTTATGAGTTTCCACAGCCTCCTGAGAGGCAGGGCAAGCACTGTCCTTATCTCTCTTCACAGAAGAAGGAACTGAGGCTCAGAAAGGCAAAGTAACTCAGGAATCACAGTCAGATACTCAGCTGATCAGTAGCAGGACTTGGTTTCAGCCCTGCCCCCCCGCCCCACCCAGATGCAGTGGTCAGTGCCCCTTTGTATGAGTGCTGAAGGTCTTGGAGGGTAAGGAGAAAATGTTCTGCCCAGAAGGGCACGCGGTAGGACCAGGACCTGGATGGTGGGTGTCCTAGGGCACAGGGCAGGACAGAGATTGGATTTCAGGGGAGGTAGCTGAATTCATTATTCATGTGGGTCTCACACTTGCCTAAGGATCAAGTCCTTCTCACCCTGGCTCCCACAGGAGGTGATGTCTCCCTCTCTCTAGCCCCCAGCCTTGACCCCTGCCCTGGTCCTCTCCTTTCCGAGCCTTCATCCCTCTCACCATTCAGTACCTCCTCTGCTTTCCTCCCACCTATACTTCCCACCTCTCCCACATCCCGTTTGTCCCTTTCCTTCCTCTCAAATTATCCCAAACATTCCTCTTCTCCCACTCTGCCCTCATTCATTCATTCGATTCTTTTGAGTACCTACTATATGACAGCCATTATACCAGGTACTGGGTGAAAACACTGAAAAAGATAGACAAGGTCTCTGCTGCTGGAGGGAAACAGACAGACTAGATGCATGTGGATTGTGACGGCTGTTGTAAGGAAATTGATGGAGAGGTGGGATGGGATAATCTGGGAAGGCCCTTTTAACCAGGGGGATCTAAGGAGGAGACGCCTCAAGAGCTGGCCATAAGATGAGCTGAAGGAAGAGAATTCAGGCAGAAGACACAGCACGTGCAAAGGCCCTGAAGCGTAGAGGGACTTGGCACATTCAGAAATGAAGCGGCTGGTGTGGCTGGAGTATGATGAGCTCAGAGCAGAGTAATTGGGTTGAAAAGTTGACTCCTATCCCATTGCTCCTGTATTCTTACCCTCCCTTCCCGCTCTGTGCTCACTCACTCCCCTCTGCCCTCCTGTCCCCACCATACCCTCCCCAGGAGACCGGCCGGTACCCTGCCTACAAGGAGATGGTCTCTGAGTACTGTTGGCTGGACCGGCGTAAGTGACCAGCTTCCCGAGGCTGGAAGGAAAGGGCCCTTAAGTGGGACTGGGATCTCTGAAGAATAAATGGGAGGGGCACCAAAATCTCCTCAGGACTGCTGTCTCTGGGCTCCCCTCTAAGAAGTTGCAGGTTCTGATCCAGGCTCTCCCAGGGGCAAGTCCAGGGGTGGTTGGAGAAGTGCCTTGCCTAAGGTCCCACAGCCAGTTAGCAGGACTGCTGAGTAGTGGTTGGTTCCTGAGACCCTGTGCTCACAACCTCGCCGCTGCCCAGCACTCCTCCTCCAAGCCCACGAGTGGTCTGCAGCCCCGGCAGGGCCCCAGAGCCACCCGGCCAGACCTCTGAGATGCCCCTGCCCTCTCCACCACCTGCAGTGAGCAACGGGGTGCTGCAGCAGCTGTCCCCCACCTCGGAGAGCAGCTCCAGCGTCTCCTCCTTCACCTCCAGTGCCCCCTACAGCTCGGCCGAGGGCTCCCTGCCCTCGGACCGCATGGATGTCTGCCTGGGGCCTGAGGAGCCCGGCAGCTGGGGTCCGGGCTGGGGGCGGGCGGACACAGCCATGCAGACGGAGCCTGACGCGGGGAGCCTCGTGGAGACCTGGTGCAGCGTGCGGCCCACGGTCATCCTCAGGGACACTGCCATCCGTTCCGACGGCCCGCCACCCACCCGGCACCTTGACTCTGCACTCTCTGAGTCCCCCAAGACTGCTCTGTTGCTGGCCCTCAGCCGACCCCGGCCCCCCATCACCCGCTCCCAGAGCCACCTGACCTTGTGGGGTACGTGAGGGACAGGTGGCTGTTGCTCCCCCCACTAAAAGCTCTGGGTCCAAAATCTGTCTTGCGCCCTGTCCTGGGCCCCAAACTCCTTCGCACAAGGCTTTGCCCTGACCACAGCTCCAGAACATACTCAGATCCTGCTTTGGGTTCCATTTTAAACTAGTCCTGGGCCCCAAACCAGCCCTAACCCAGACCTTCCATCCTTGGGTTCCCAGACCTGTCCACGAGCACACACACACACACAATCCTCACGTAGTTGGAGCTGTGGGTGGGGGAGGGGTGGGAAGTTGGAAGAGGAACCCCACCCCCATCTTCATCCCCACCTCCCCACATGGCTGCAGACCCTGTCTGCCCCCAACTCTCCCTTCTCTCTGCCCCTCCCCACGCCCCTGCCCCTAGTCCTTCCCTTCTGCCCACCCCTCCCTCCTGTCTGCAGAGGAGAAGCAGCAGCGGAAGAAGGAGAAGCCAGGGTCCCCTGGGGAGAAGGGGGCCCTGCAGCGCTCCAAGACCCTGATGAACCTCTTCTTCAAGGGAGGGCGGCAGGGGCGGCTGGCAGGGGATGGGCACAGAGAGGCCTGGACACTGGACAGCAGGAGCCCAGCCAAGCCTCACCCTCGCCTGGACCTGGAGAAAGGTAGGTACTGGGCGGGTCAGATGGGAGGACAGAGGAAAAGTCTACTTGATATTCCACAGCTCTGAGTTTAAATCCCACACTGCCTCATCCCAGCTGTGAGCCACCACCTTCCCCTGCGAGCCACATGAGTAAAACAGGAGTAATAATACCTGTTGGTGCTAGTGGTAAAGAAGCCTGCCTGCCAATGCAGGAGACGTGGGTTCGATCCCTGGGTCTGGAAGTGGGTCTGGCAACCCACTCAAGTATTCTTGCCTGGGAAATCCCATTGACAGAGGAACCTGGTGGTCTATGGTCCATAGGGTTGCAGAGAGTCCAACACAACTGAAGCGACTTAGCGCACACACACACACAATACTATTTCTTTGGGAATAATGATGAATCAGTGAATCAGTGTATATTAATCACTTAGTCCATGGTCTGACATACAGTTGGTGCTCAGAATATGTAGTGGTCCTTGTTGTACTGCCTCATCTTCCCATTTTACAGAAGGGAAAACTGAGAAGAGTCACAGCACAGACAAGAAGACCTTGGGTCAGATTCCCATGCTCTTGGTGCTCTTGGGAGGCAGGACACTTCTTTCTTAGGGCATTTGGCTTCACCTCCCCTGGCCAGAGCTCCACAGGCTCTAGCCAGTTCTAGAACCACCTAGAGCAAGGCCATTTCTAGATCAAGGCCCAGGCAGGAAGGCCTAGACAGGTTTCATTCATGTCAAAGGCTTCCTGAGGACCCTTCAGAGGGCATCTCATCTCTCTGGTGAGATTCAAAGGCTGGACCAAAAGTGGATGAGTTGAGACTCTTGGGGTTATCTGTGAGAAAAACTTAATTCAAGTTAGCTTTAAAAAGCACTTCTTGGCTCAGCTATGGATGCAAACTGGGTCTAAAGGTTTAAACAGTCTCCTCAGCCATCTGTACTCTTCATCTTTTGCTTCCTCTTTCCCCTGGTGTGTCTTCATCATCTTGCTGGCTTTGCCACTTAAAGGTAAGAAGGCCACTGTCTCTTAGCAACCCGGGGGAAAGAGCCTCTCCTTAAATAGTTCCAGATGATGTCCCAGGCTCTGGTTGGCCCAGCTAGGATCACATGCCCGACACATCGCTTGTGACCTGGGAGAGAGAGAGGGTGCTCTCATTGGCCATCCTGGGTCATGTGTCCACCCTGGAGTATGGAGACTGAGAATGCTGGGGGTGGGGGATGGGATGGGTCCCCTGGTGAAATCAGGGTGCCATTTCTAGAAAAGAGAATGAATGTTGGGTAGGCAAAGAGGGGCTGGGCCCTGCCCCTCCCTGGGTCTCATGGGAGAGACAATCCCTTCAAATCAGGGCAGCCTAACCCCCTCCCTAAACTCGTCTCTCTTTTCACAGCCCCCAAGGCCCTTCTCTCTCCTGGTTCTCTCCCCACTTCTCTGGCTGCTCCTCTCCCTCCTTCCAAGGCTCCTCTTTTTCTCTTTGTGCCCTGAAGGTAGGTGATTTGCCCTTAGGATTCTTCCATCCATTCCTTTGCTTCCCAATGGACTTCTATGAGCAGGGCACAGACTGGGCCCTCTCTTGATCCAAAGCCTTCACTGACTCCCCACTGTCTGTGAATGAAGCTCCTAGCCTGACCTTGGCCTTCAAGACCTGCCTCAATAGCCTGGCCTCTTGCTTCCTAGTCCCACCACATTCCAGCCTTGAACTCTCCATTCCAGCCCATGATCCAGCCAGTTCTGCGCCCCCAATCCCCATTTTCAGCTGGGAGACCAGGGCTATAACTGAGCCTCTTTCTTCTTCTTAGCAGGGGGAGTGGGGCCCGTGCAGAAGTTTGTCACCTGGAGGCTGAGACGCGGTAATGCTTGCTTCCCCCTTGTGAGCCTGGTCTACAATAGAGCTGCAGATGGGGTGCATGTTGGGGGTGCTAAGGGACTTTAGGTTAAACTCATGGTCAAGCATGGAGTATCAGACAGATTGAGAGGTGCACATTAGGGGCAACTAAAAGAATTGGACTATGCTTTCTAGGAATATAGGGTTACAGATAGATATTGGGGTGCATTTTTGAGGGCTGGGAGCTTAAGCTGGGACTTCCAAAGACAGATTATTGGGGAGATGATGGAGGGGGCCTTGCTAGATCTCCAATGTGGACAGACTAGTATGAGAGTACATGTTCAGGGGGCACAGGGGCTCTGGGCCAGGGCTCAACTAAGGAGCAGACTGGGCTAGGGGTCTGGGATGGGGGCTGAAGGGCCTGAATTGGAACTCCAGTGATGGACAGATTGCTGTGGGAGACCATGGTGGGGAGCATCTGGGATAGGCTGGGATTCCACCGGGGGAACCTGGGACACTTAGCCAGTCTATTCTGGAGTCTGACCCCACTGAAGGGAGTCCCTGCCTTGACTTCTGATGGCTCCTGGCTCCTTCATTGTATCCTTTTGCTCCTGCCCTGCAGACCGGGAGAGGGGCCAGGCTCTGCTCTCTGCCAGGTCTGGGAGCCCCTCCAGCCACCTGCCCAATGTGGATGAGCAGGTGCAGGCCTGGGAGAGCCGTCGGCCCCTAATTCAGGACCTGGCCAGGCGACTGCTGACTGATGACGAGGTGCTGGCTGTCACCCGCCACTGCTCCCGGGTGAGCCTCCAGCCCACTCTCAGCCCCAGTACTTGGTCACTCAGTCACCCAACCCCTCATTCATTCAAGCCACTATCTGCTGGCCAGTATCTGGGTTTAATGCGGTGAGCCCAGTGGCAAGGAAAGCAGAAGTCACCCCTGTGATGTGCTTGCTCAAGAGTGCACACAGACACATGGACACACACACTGAGCTCACAGTCAGGAAGGAAAGATAGATAGTAACTAGAACCTAAGCACCCATAGAGACAAATCATGTGAAGTACTATGAAGGAAAAGTACATGAGAAAATAACCTGAGGCACAAACTAGATGGTGTGGTCTGCCAGGGCCTCCCAGAGGAGGTAATATTTAAGCTGAGGAGAGGAGGAGCCAGACCAGATAGGTGAGTTTGTGACCTGAGTCCCTGCAGTCACCTGCTCTGTTTTCTGTTCTCTTCTAAACCTCAGCCTTCCCCAGCTCATGCCTCCTTCCACTCCTGGGTCAGCCATCAGGCCTGGCCTCTCTCCTGTTATCCAAGTAAGTAATCTTTTGTTCTCCCAACATACCCCAAGCCTCCCTCAATATCTACACTGTTCCTCACTGTTCCTTTCCACTTCAGTATATGTGCTGCCGAAGTGATCACTCCTTTCCACTTCAGACAGAAGCAGAGGTTCCCACAGTAGGGTTGAGGGTAGATTTAAGGGAGTCTTTGTAGCCTGAATGTTGGGGAGACTGTAGGAGGCACAGGTCACCCCCTCCAGGAGAACTGGAAGTCCCTCCCCTATCCTTCTGTCTCAAGAAGCTCCAGATTTCCTGTAATAGGTTCCCTATACTGCATCTGCATCAGTGCATGTGTGATCCTCTGTACCAGGGCAAACTGAAGAGTTTCAGGAAATTGTTTGTGGTTTCCCCTACTCCTTCACCTTGGTCAGGGTGGGGCTGTGTTATGTCTGTGTGATGTGTACCTTTGTTTATCTGGGTTTGTGTTGACTTAACTGTATGATTTGGGCTTCCCTGTTGGCTCAGTGGTGAAGAACCCAGCTGCCAATGCAGGAGACACAGGTTCGATCCCTGGGTCAGGAAGATCCCCTGGAGAAGGAAATGGCAGCCCGCTCTAGTGTTCTTGCTGGGAAATCCCCAGGACAGAGGAGCATGGCGGGCTACACTCCTTGGGGTCGCAAAGAGTCGAGACTTAGGCACTGTATGATTGTATCTGTGTGCATGTCACCTGGAAACTGAGGCACAATAATTCATGCATCCTTTTCCCAATGCTTGGTTTACATCAGAGCTACATATGGAGATGCATGTTGGGGGCAGCTAAAGCCTCTGGGCTAAATTCACTTGAGTGTCGTGCTCAGCTTAGAGTGCCAAGTGGGGCTGAGTGTACCGTCTTTGTAAGCCTGCGACTCTAGGCTCTGGCCACCAGGTGGAGCTCTGTGTCAGTTTCTTTGGATGCTGTTCCCCCATCCCTCTGCTCCTCCCACCGTGCCCTAACCAGGAAGGCCTCTCCCAGAGCCCTGTAGCACCTAGGGAGCAATGCCCACCACCCGAGTCTGACCCAAGCCCCACCCATACCAATAGATCAGACCTTCGGGGTAGTGTCCTGGCTGGAATGATTAGTAAAGCTCCCTTAGATGTGTGGTCCTGAACCCCAAGCCTCCCTTCTAGCCCCCACTCTAGCCATCTCCCCACAGCCTCCTGACCAGGCATCATAAACTACCTCTCTGATTACTCTACAAACTCCCCCAACCCCCTTGCAGTCTCTTGTCTTTGGCAGAATAGATTACAAGTTCCTTATCCTCACGTTCAAGGCGCTCCCTGCCTTGACTCCCCAGCTCACTAACCTCTGCTTTCCCATGGTCACCATTTCATCTTCCCCGGGTATAACATGTAACCTGGTTTATACAGGTTACGATCGCACAACTCTAGGAGCACCTTAGTCACAACCCGCACAGCCTATATGGGGGCCCCTTCATGTACCCCGTGAGCATGGGTGTGTGTCCTCTGTCCATGGGATTCTCCAGACAAGAATACTGGAGTGGGTTGCCATGCCTTCCTCCAGGGGATCTTCCTGACCCAGGGATCAAACCCCCATGTCTTGCGTTTTCCGCATTGCAGGTGGATTTTTTACCCACTGAGCCATAGGGGAAGCCCAGTTAAACTTCCATGAACGCATTACTCCATACCACCCTTTCTTCTCAACTTTCTTGTATTCCTTTCATTTATCCGTAAGAGTCAGTGTAAATGCCACCACCTCCATGAAGCTTACTCTGATCTTCCCACCCTCCTCTGAGACTCCCTCTGGGTCGTCGCCAGTGGTTTGTAGTTTACTGGGGCTTGTGGCTCTTTGTCGTTGTGCCCCTACTGCCCAGGATAGGACCCGGCACTTAGTGTATGCTGAACGCAGGATTGTGGACTTGAAGTGTGTGCACATATGTGACTGGTTCTCTGCCATTACGTGTATCTCTCTCCAGACAAAAGGGGGTGTGTTGTCGGTATGTGTATGTGAGTCCCTGCAACTTTGTGTGTGGTTTAAGGCTACACACACACGTTTGATTTCCAGCTCTTTATGAATGTCTCACTCTGGCCACCAGGATGTGCTGTTTGCCAGTGTCCTGTGCTTGCCAGGGATGCTCTGTGTGTGCCCCTTGTGGCACTAGGGGGCAGTGTGCTATCCAAGTTGCGACGGTGGGGTGTGGCTGGAGGCATCTGGGCAGTGCCAGGCAGAAATGCCTCCACTACCCTGGCTAAAGACTGGAGAAGCTTTCTATAGGGCCACCCCTTCCCCAAAGTCCCCATTCCAGCCTTGAACAAAGCCTAATTTGTCGGGCTGTATGTAAACACAAGCTGGGACAGCCAGGCACACAGCCTTGCCTTTGGCTCAAATTCCTTCCTTCAGCCTGGGAGGTGGGGGTGGGGAGGAGAGTCCACTCCCTGCATATCCTTTTCCGGTACAGTAGTAGGCAGGAGCCAGATTTCTCAACTTTCAATCTCTCTTCACACTTCCTCATCTGTGTGGCCTGGGGCAAAGTCCTCTCTGAGCCTCAGTTCCCTCATCTGTAAAACAAGAATAACTGATGTCACCTCTCAAAGTGGGAGACCATGTGTAAAAGGCCTAGAAAAAGGCCCAAAGCTGTTATTGGTGTTGCTGTTACTGCTCTGTCATTATTATTGCATGTTCTACCCAGTCACCAAGTAAGACAATCCTGTGGACAGCCTGGGCCTGTGGGAGAACCTTTCCTAAACATGGGGACCCCAGCATGCCCCCTCACTGGGCTCTGGAGGCCCCTGCTGCTATCTGACCTGTGGTACCTCTCTCTGCAGTACGTGCATGAGGGCGGCGTGGAGGACCTAGTGAGGCCCCTGCTGGCTATTCTGGACAGGCCCGCCAAGCTGCTGCTGCTGCGGGACATCAGGTGGGGAGGGATTGGGGGCGGGGAGGGGACCCCTGAAACCTTCCCTAACCTCTCCAGGGTTGAAGCCCCTCCAGGTTCCCCCGGAACTGAGCCCTGCCCACACCTCATCTCTTACCCTCCCCCAGGAGTGTGGTGGCCCCCACAGACTTGGGTCGCTTCGACAGCATGGTGATGCCTGTGGAGCTGGAGGCTTTTGAGGCCCTCAAGAGTCAGGCAGGTCAGCAGCCAGGGGGCAGGACTGAGGCTCCTGAGCCCCAGGTGTGGCTGGGGGTGGGGGCTTCCCAGGGGAGAAGGGCAGAGCTGCCTGGGCCCTTTCAGCTGTGTCCCTCAGGGAGCCTTGTTCCTAACCTGCTCTCCTCTCCAACCAGTTCGGCCTCCTGCCTTGAGACCAACCCGACAAGACACACTACCCAAGCGTCACCTCATCACCCCTGTGCCTGGTCAGTCAGAGTTCCAGAGTGCAGGGAGGGGGCACACCCCAGGGGGACTCGGGGAGGGAGAATGGGCGTTCCATCCCTGTTTCCACATAGGACTTTATGGCTTCAGAGATACGTGTGGTGTGGTTCCCTGAAGGGAATCCCTCATCTCCCAGGACCATTTTTATCATGTCCACTAACCATCTGTACTATTATTTACTTACTAATTGGTTTTAAAACCCACTCACTTGTTAAATCATCTCATTCTATGAAATAATCTCTGAGAAATAACCAGCTTGGTGTGGGAGTCATATTTTTACTCAGATATGATAAAATAAAACTGTAACTATTCCAATAGAAAGTATTAAAATACTTTTGCAATAGAACTGGGGCAGTGTCCCTCACCGTGGGACACACTGCCACAAGAGCCTGAGCGCACCCAGGTCTCCTTACACCCACGCAGTGAGGACTGGGCTCTGGCCAGGCAGTTTGGGCTGTTGAGGAGAGGGCAGCCTGACCTTGACCCTCTTCCCCAGACAGTCGTGGCGGCTTCTACCTGCTTCCTGTGAATGGCTTCTCAGAAGAGGAAGATGATGGGGAGCTGAGGGATCGGCTGGGGGGCCTCCAGGTCTCCCTGGGTGCCTCTGCCTCCTGCCACCCTCATAAAGGAATCCCCCGTCTCCAAGACGTGCCAGTAGATGCCTTCGCCCCACGCCGAAGCGCCTGCACACCCCCTCCTCAGCCACCTCCCGTGGCTCCTCGGCCCCCGAGGCCTAACTGGCTGCTGACTGAACCGTTGACCCTAGAGGACCCTCGGCAGAGCTGGAGCCAGGGCCCAGCCCAGAGCCGCAGCCGCAGCCGCAGCCAGGGCCAAGGCAAGTCCCCCGGCCGCAGGCGTTCCCCATCCCCGGCACCCATCCCCACTCCCAGCACAGCCAATGGGCGCTACCACAAGCCTCGGAAAGCCAGGCCCCCTCTGCCACGACCTATGGCAGGGGGCAGTCAAGGGCCCTCTGAGAATGGAACTGGCAGGACAGCTGAGGAGACAGTCATGAAGGTCCCCAGTGGGGAGTTGAGGACCGTCACGCTGTCTAAGATGAAACAGTCCTTGGGTGAGTCTTGGCAGGACTGGGCCTGGTGGGGGGTGGGGGTTCGGGTGTGGGTACGGTTGGTGGGCTTGGTTTTGGGGTGTGACTTGGGGACCTGGGACAAGGGAAAGAATCAGGGTATAGTTGGAAAGGTCTAAATTTGGGAGGCTTAGGATTAGAGTGGGTTAAGGATGGAGCAGTAGTAGGATCTGGGGGTTGGCTTGGGGGGCTCTCTATTTGGGGATGGGTCCTGGGTTCTCCAGGGAGCTCTAGGCTTAGGTGGTGTGGCTGCACTGTCACCCAGCGTTTCTCCCTCTCACTAGGCATCAGCATTTCTGGGGGCATTGAGTCCAAGGTACAACCGATGGTGAAGATAGAAAAGATCTTCCCCGGGGGCGCTGCCTTCCTCAGTGGGGCCCTTCAGGTGGGTGAAGGGCACCCAGACCCACTCTTTAGGCCCAGATCTGAATTCTGGCAGAGGGCAGGACCAGTGCATGCCCATCTTCCAGCCAGACATGTGTAGACCAGGTCGTGGGAAGAGGCTTGGAGCAGGGGGTTAACCTGCAGGTTGAGCAGACCTAGGGAAAAATCTGTGTCTTCATGCCAACCTGGGCCTGAGGGTGGCCCATCCTGTTCCACCCCTAGCCCCAAGGAACAAAAGGCCATTGTCTGTGCCCCACCCTGCCCCCACTGGGCTCCGGGCACAGAAGTCCCATTGTCCATCCCCTCCGCCCAGTTGGGGAGCAGTGTCCCAGCTGGTGGAGGTGAGAGGTTGCGGGGTGGGGTGGGGTTGACCTGAGGAGGGAGGTCTATGATTCTCCCATCCCCACTCCAGGCTGGCTTTGAGCTTGTGGCCGTGGATGGAGAGAGCCTGGAGCAGGTGACGCACCAGCGGGCGGTAGATACCATTCGCTGGGCTTATCGAAACAAGGCTCGGGAGCCCATGGAGCTTGTGGTTAGGGTCCCCAAGCCTGGCCCACTGCCCTTGCCCTCTGACTCGTCAGCCCTCAATGAACAGCAGCTTCCTGCTGACCATTCCCCTGCCCGCTGACCCCTTGATGGCACTCCAACTGCCTCCCACTGACTCCCAAACTTCCCATTAATGCCCTTCCCACCCAAACCCCGACCCCTCCTGCTAATGCCTACCTTCTCCAGCTGACCCCAAGCCCAGGCCTCTCTCCAACCCTCCTGCCTCCTGACACTAATCCCAGATTCTCCCCAGCTATCCTATCCCATAACTCTCCCCACTGACCTCAGAGAATCCTCCTGTCATCCCCCAGACCTCACCTACTAACCTCTTCAGGCTTCAGGAACCTCCCACTCCTGCTTGCCTTGCCTCCTCCACGCTGGTGGCTCAGATCCCCTCCCTCACGTCTCCCTCCCCGGTTGTCACTAAGGCTCTGCCCGTTCCAGATAAACTTAGTGTCAAGGACAAGGTGCTGCTGGGTATCTGTGTCACCAGCTCACTGCCCCCAACTTCCCAAGACAGGAAGGGAATACCCATGGTCTGGAGCTGGGGATTGGTGTGCACTTTCTCATGATTCCCTGAAGCAGTGAGGGACAGGGATTCTCAGAGATGGCCCTCAAGGGGGTCACTGCACCCAGCCCCCAGCTGTGTTCTGTTCAAGGGAGAGGAAGGTCTTTTCTAATTTCTCAAACCCTGAGGGCCCATTTCATGTTGTAGTCCACTAGGACATCAGATTTTCTACTTGATTTGTCCTTCCCCATCACTCTTTCTCTCCCTAAGATCTCTATGAGGGGTAGGGGAATAGCCATCAAATAAAAGGGCTTGGGGGGTCAAAGTTCCCCTAATCTTTATCCACCACACTCATCTTTTTTTAAAAACAAACATTTTAATTTTTTTCTTTGGGTTTGTACAAGAAATTTACAATGTGAAAAATATACAAGTGAAAAACGAGGCCAAAAACCTGGATATGGGGAGGGGCCACTTGGTCACAAACACAAATAAACATTTCTGAGTTCTTCCTTTGGTCTGACTACAGCCCCTTCTCCCCAGGAGAGGGGTTGCAGAGCTGGGACCTGGGGATCAGACCCCAGTCCCAGTCCTGTTCCCCAACATGGGCAGGGTTGAGGGCAGGCACATCTGGAGCAGCTGGCGCTATATGGCTCGCTCTAGCTTTGGGATGGTGGGGAGAACGTGGAGATGAGGGAGCCCCTTCCTTTTCCGAGCCCCCTGGCTGAGTGGACTGGGAGCGCTGGGAGGGTGTGGGGTTGGCAAAATAGCACTGGCAGTATTTGGGGAGTGAATGAAATAGGTCGAGTGAGTAGGAGCCTTTGGGTGACAGTGAACACAGGGACCTTCAGGGAGTCTGATCCAAGTCATTGGGCAGCCCTGAGTCCTTGGCAGAGGCCCAGAGGCCTGCATCCCAGGGACTAAAGGCCCTTGGGCCCTCAGACTTTGGGACCCTCGGTGGATCTGAGGCTACTGCCTGCTTTCAGTAGACCTCCGTGCAGAGGGGGGAGCTAAGGCCCTAGATTTCAGTGGCAGTGATCTCCTCCAGGCAGATGCAGGGCGCTGGCTCTGCCAGGCCCAGGTCTGCGAGTTCCCGGGCCTCCAGCTCCAGACTGAGCTGCTGCAGCTCCTGCTCCAGCTGCCGGTTACGTCGGTACATCTGGATGTAGTTGTGCTGCAGCTGCTTCTGGTAGCGGATCACCTGCTCCTTCTCTGCCTGCCAGGCCAGCCGCTCCCCCTCAAAGCTGTCCCGCTGCTCCTCACCTCGCCGCCGCTCCTGCTGTAGCTCCGCCCGGAGCCGCTCCACCTGAGCCCGCAGGCTGCCCCCGACCCCAGCGGCAGCCCGCTGTGCCTTGGCCTCATCACTCTCTGCCAGGAGGAATGGGTCAGCAGTGGCAGGTGGCACAGGGGGTTCCCGGAGTCCGGCGGCCTCACTGTCCAACTGCCCAGCTTTCTCCCGCAGCCGCTCAGCCTCTTGACGGTGCCGCTGCAGCTCCTGGGAACAGGCCTCCAGCTCCAGCTCCCGTGTTCGGGCTGCCTCCTGGAGGCCCCGTGCCCGGCCCTCACTGACCCGAAGCGCTGCCCGGGCCTCCCGCAGTGCCACGCGCAGGGCCACCAGCTCGCTGCCCTTCTGTACCAGCTCTGCCTGAGATTCCTTCAGTTGCTGCTTCAGCAGGGAGATCTCACCCGACTTCTGGCACACCTAGGGGTAGGAGACAGTTGGAAAAGATGGTGAGAAGGTTCTCGCAGGTGGCCAGGCCCTGACATCAAGCTGGGCATTTGGGGAGAGCCAGTTTGATCACTGTACTTATTTTACAGATGAAGACACTGAGGCAGCTAAGGTGGAATATAGGCCCAGATCTTCTGGTTTCAAAGCTGGGGTCTTTAAACCATCATGAAGCACCAGCTTCATGCGGGTTTGGCAGGAGTGGAAGCAGCAAAGGGCAGTGCCTGCATTTCCAGTTGGGAGGCACTACAGTGTCTTGGTGGAAAGCACAGACACTAGAGCCAGACTGCCTGGGTTCAGATCTCAGCTCTGCCACTGACTAGGTGTGATCTCAGGCTCCATCCCTTCTGGGTCTCATTTTCCTCACTGATGAAATGAGGGTGTGAACAGCACCCAATTCACAGGGTTATTACAAGGATTAGATGATACTCTACGTCACATGCTTCGAGTAGCAGTACCTGTCAAGGAATAAGCACTACATTCTCATTATTGGTGGGAAGGCAGTGGATGGGGATGTCACTGGCTACCTGAGCACTTAGAGCAGAGCCATGAGGAGACCAAATGTGAAGGCCCCCAAGGCGACCCATACCCAGAAAGGGAGGTCAGAGGGGGGAGCCTCATCTCACAAAAGTGAGGAAGGGGAGGCCCTCTGGAGATGGCAGGTGAGGGGATGTGGGTGGGCCCCTCCTTTCAAGGCTTACCCCCTCACTGAAGGCCCTGCTCCCTGCCCCTCCTGGTACAGCTCACCTCCCACTTGGTCTCCTCTAGCCGTGGCCCGAGCTCCCGTTGCTCCCGCTCGAAGGCGGCGCAGCGCCGCTCCAGCTGCTCGCGTTCCTGCAGCAGCTGCGCGAAGTCGTCCTGTAGCTGCCGCTTCTCCTGCTGCAGCTGGAACACCTGAAGCTGCAGCAGCTGTTGGGCCCGCTGGGCCCGCTGGGCCTGGGCCACGCCATCCTCTCGCAGAGCCTCTCGCTCACGGGGCCAGTGCCGCTGCCGCTCCTCGTACACCTGCGGGCGAGAGGGCAGGCCTGGGTCCTGGAGGCTCCCCCACACCTCCAACCCTGACCACCCCCAGCGCCCCAGTCACCAACTGCCCTGGTGGCCCACTGTCCTGGGCTCAGGGAAGATGGATTCAACAGTGACAATAATTAGGATACCGACAGTAACAACCACTTGATACTTGCTACTACTACAATAATAGCAAGCATGTGTGTGGCACTTCCCAGGTGCCAGGCATTGATCTAAGTACTTTACACCCTTAGCCCTGCTTAATCCTCATGATAACCTTGGGGCCAGGAATATCCTCATTTATGGTGAGGAAACTGAGACTCAGTACAACCGAGTAGCATGCTCAAGTCTGAAAGACAGTATATGGTGGTGTCATGTCCACCATTCTAGATTTTAAACCAGACAGCTGGGGTAGGGATGGGGGTCACCAGCCCAACACCTGCCTCTTAGCAGACAGAAATGCTTCTTGTATGCCCAGCACCTGTGGATGTCCTTCCATGCCACCCCCATCACTGCCACTGACCACACCTGGCACATGGTCACCTCACTCTCGTCCAGACTGTCCCGCAGCTGCTGCAGCTCTGTCTCCCGGTCTCGGAGCTTTCCTTCCAGGACACAGTGCAGCAGGGCCTCGTCCGAAGGGGGTGGGGGGGGCGGGGGCGGTGGGGGGGAGCGTTCCCCACAAGAGCTGCTGTCAGGAGAGGCCCGGGGACCGCTGCCCAAGAGCCCCCCAGCCATGCGACCCCCCAGGGAGCCTGTGCTCTTGCTGGAGGAAGAACGGCCACTGTCTGAGTGGGAAGGCCCGGTGGGGGCTCCTCGGGCTGGCCCCGGCAGGGCACCCCGCCCAGGGCCGTGGGAGGGCAGGTGCCCGCCTGGGGAGTTGGTAGCCGGCTCGGCACCCCCAGTGCTGTAAGTGGGCAAGCTGGACAATGAGTTTCGGCCGGAGTCAGACAGAGTCCCCGATGGGCAGCCGCTGGCCCAGCCACTCAGTATCAGGGGTTTGTCGGCAGCCGAGGAGGAGGAGGAAGAGGAGGAAGAGGCCGGGCCCCCGAACAGCTGCGTTAGGCTGCCTTGGCTCCCCGACGGTCCGGTGGCCCGAGGACCCAGGAAGCTAGGTAGGGATGGTACCCCTCGAGGTTTGGGCAGCACTGGCTTGAAGGCTGTTGGGCGGATCACAATTTTCTCCATGTTCTGAAATAAGGTGCCATTTGACAATGGGGATGAGCCGCCCAATCTCTCGAAGCCCTTATCACACTCCCTGCCCTCCCATCCGGGGCCCCCAACCCCCATATAGTAATAACAATTGCTACCACTGGCTGAGGGCCTCCTGTGTCAGCTTTACTTATGTCAGGCAACTTAAAATGTACCTCTCAGGTCATTACAAAATCCATGCAAGCAAAATATTATCACTATTGCATACATAGATGAGGAAATGGAGGCTGAGGGAGTTACAGGCCTTGCTCAAATGCCAACACACAGTAGTTATATAGAACAGTATTTCTAAGAAGCTAACACTTACTGAGTACCTATTATGTGCCAGGCACTAGGCTAAACACTTTACACACATTATTAGATTTAATTCTCACAACAATCCTATGAGAGTTGACCTGTTACCTCCATTTTACAAACACAGAAACTGAGGCTCAGAAAGGTTAAATTATTTCCCTGAGTGAGGTAGAGCTGGGATGAGAACCCAAGTCTGGTGAATCTGGAGCCCATACTCCTTCCTATAAATAGGTCTCCAAATTTCAGCTTCTCCAGGGGACCTCTGATTCCACCCAGACCCTCAAAGGAAGGGCTGGTCCTCACCTTCTCTAGTTTTCCAGAGACAGGGATGAGCTTTGGT